ACATTAACATTCCAAAGCGAGCCCAGAGGAAACCTTCCAAAAGGGAGGATATTTTGTACAAGCACAAACTAAAAGAAATGGGTTTGTTCAGTCTCAAGTAGAAATGGTTAAGAGAAGGATGAATTTTTTGCTGCCTTCAGCTATACAGTAGAACTGTATAGAGAAGAGTAAATGGAACACTGTGAAAAGACACAATGAAAAGACACAAGGCAATGAACACAAGGCACAAGATGGGATATTTTAGTTGCATATTACAATCTTCTCACAGTTGTCAAACACTGGAAGAAGTATCCAAGAGAGACAGCAGAATCTTCATCCCTAGAGTTGTTCAAAACTCAATTAGACATGGCCCTGAGCAACCCAATCCAGTAGGATCTGCTTTCAGCAGGAGGTTGGATGAGGTGACTTCTAGGGGTCCCTGCCAATCTAAATTTTTCTATAATCAAACACCAAGTCTTTAGTAATACCACAACAGCCATAGATGACAGGAACAAAGAACATCAGCACAAAGGCTGTGCTCACATTTATGGGCTCAGCACATGGAAGCACTGGTAAACATCTATCTTTCTGATAGCACTTGCACCACTTTCCTCCATTTTTTCACAAGTTCAAAAAGTTTCCTTTCCTATAAGGAAAACTACTTCCTAATAACAGAATAGGAAATAGATTTATGCAAAGTTGTAAGCTAAAACCAATGGAGATGCTTCAAAGTTCCAACTAGCCTGCACAGCTGCCCTTTGGTTAGGACTGCCATGGAAGTAGTGAAGTTTTAATAAAAGAAGCAGAAGACCACAGGAGAGGAAACAGCAGCTGATTTTTCCTCCTCAATCTCATTTCACCATTCAGGATTCCTAGTTACTGATGCCAAAGAAGACTGCATCTTCCTTGATCACCTCATTGTTTCGTAACCAGTTCTTATGAGAACTACAAAGTTCATCATGTCCAAGATGGACAAGTTAGAATCACAGAATATGTTGAGTTGGAAGGGACCCATCAGGATCATTGAGTCCAACTCCTGGCACCATGCAGGACACCCCAAGAGTCACACCACGTGCCTGAGAGTGTTGTCCAAACCTTCTTGAACTCAGACAGGCTTGGCGCTGTGACCACTTCCCTGGGGAGGCTGTTCCAGTGCTCAACCACCCTCTGAGTGAAAAACTAGACTGCAATTGGCTACAGCGTTCAGAGCTCTAAGGTACTCTTCCACCCCACCTGGTAAAGGTTCTCCACTGGAATCAGACTGAAAGGAAAAACCCAGAGATGAATAAGTGATCATTTTCTGAGATCAGTTATGTTGTCCAGTGTCATTTCAGCGATGATGCTGAATAGCAAATTGGAAAAGCATGGATAAAAAAAAAAGAAAAAACATATCTCTTACAGTACTCAGATTCACTTGGCAGTGAAGTAAGGCAAGCAAATGCTCTGTTGATCACCATTGCTTTGTTAATTTGTCTTATTCTCCTCATCTTTGGATCCTTTCCAGGATGTAAACTTGAACATACCTATGTATTCTGGATAGCTGTCTGGACCAAAGACTATATGAGTCCATTTTATGACAACTCTTACCTACAATAATGAAAGAGAATGTATTGGTGCCAAAGATTCTTGCTCTCAGATACCTTCTTCAGTCTTTACTATGTGGATATTTGTAACTTCTAGTGAAGTTTCAGAACCACAGGCTATCTTTATTGACTGATTCCAAATCAGAAACTTCAGTTTCTGTCCTTTCATTTCATGCACCAGAGAAAGAGCACCAAATGAAGTACTTTCAGAAAAGTGGTCTTTCTGGAGAAGCAGCACCTGTTATCTGCTTTCATCGAGACTATCACACAGAAGTATCATTAAACATGTACATGAGATTTTTAAATTTTAAACATTTCAATCTGCTCTCATGTTTGAGCTCCCCTGACTACCAAAAGACCATCAGAGTGCTGCTGATGTAGGGTTGCAGCCATCTCCACCTCATCCCATCGCCTGTGCTAACAGAAAAGGGGAAAGGAGGGACATAAACAATCCCAACATTACGTATGAATTCTCCTCAATCATTTAAACCCCATTTTTTATATTATGTGGAAATGTCTTAGTCTAAAAACACAGAACATGTGCCTGAAAACATGAAATGTAAATGCTTTTCCTCCCCTCATATTCTGAAATACACGGCATAATAAAAGCTTCTATTTCCCAAAGAATTAACATTCTAAAAGGTCTCAAAAAAAAAAAAAAAAAAAAAGCTATGCAGTGATGTTAGTGTAATATCTAATTTTTGTGCAAATAAAAACTATAAAATATTAGAAATAATTAATTAACCTATAATAAGTAATTAGGATTTTTTCTCTCTAAACAAATTGTCAATATTTCAAATTGACCCAAACTTTATTTGCAAAAAAAATACAGTTTTGCTAAAAAAATGCAGTAACTCTTGTTTCTAAAGAGTATGAAGGACAGAGGAACTGTGATAGTGATCTCTTTGAGAATTCTCCCCATGCAGACATCTTCCTTTGATAAGCTATGAATTGCTTGCTAAGAGGGAATCCTACTCTATCAGACCTTAAGAATTCAAATCTTCAATCCACTTTGACATCTCAGGAAACCATTCTGCTACATAACCCACCTATTTTTACCCTCCCACCTTCCAGCAAACAGCTGCTCCATAAAGCATTTGAGAGTCCAACTTCTCCCTCCTTTTCCCTTCCTCTGACCACCAGGAAGAGAAACCAGCCAGGAAACAGCTGCAGTTCCCTACAACAAAATTAAAATTTCTATCCTCTCTGACACTGTGCCTTGTAGTTTGTTGAGGATGAAAGTGTTTTGATGAACTAAAATATCCTCAGTAAAACATATCTGTATGCATAAATTACGGTAGATCCCGATCATTTATGATTTAGTTGCAGAATACATTTCATGAAAAGCTGCTCACAGGTAAGGTGGCTGAGCGTCCACAAGTAATCTTAAGCCCTCCTCCTTTCCACACACATAAAATCAGCTTTGACTTAGATACACCTGTTTCATTACATTCAGTGGAAAGGAGCAAGTAGACTGAAATATTCTATTCTATCACAATACGCAAATGGCATGAGCATAGAGCATAGGATTATTACATGAATCATCTGCCTGTAAACTTGGGTGTTCCTAGGTTTTTTGAAAACCTTCCACTCTTACATTTTCCCCATGAATAGTGCCAGGATGCTTGTTGGGTTTTAGATAATATCTGACCTTCTTTCTCTCCATTCCACAAACATTTTCAGGAGCAAATTATTAGGAAATCAGCATCACATATGCAAGCTGATAGGCTGAGATACCAGTGTAAAAACTTTCCTACTGTGCTTTCCTTTACCATTTTCTATATTCCTTTCCCCAAGGCCCCCCAAACCAGGACAGCTTGGTAGCATTTCAAACCCATGTAATTTTCAGCAGCTGAGCAGCAAGATGAAGTCAAGAATGAAAAGTCTCACCCCACTAAAGGCTCTGATTCTGTACGAGATACTACATAAGCCTTGTTTAGTGAGAGGATGTTCTTCCTAAAAAGATACTCATGAAAATAAGCATTTAAATAACAAAGTAAAACTCCAGTTGTGCACACTATGTAAGATGTTAATAGTTTCACTTAGAAAGATGCGGAAACTGTACTCTGCTATTTAAATCATACACCAACTACTTGTAATTAAAGTCTAATATATATATATATATATACACATACACACACACATGTACTGCACTAGTGTCTCAAAGACCTAAGATTTCTAAATGGACCCTAGCAGCATCATTCTCACTTGCAAGACTACATGACAACCCTTTCAGCAAGGAAACACTGACAAACAAGAAAGTTCAGAACTCCAACCCATGATATATTCGCTAATCTTTTTTATATTTATTTGAACTGGAATAATAAATGACAGGCTTGCCAATATTATATGAAGTATATACGTATGGGAGAACTATAGAACTACAGGAGAACTATGAAAGTATAGGAGAAGCAATTGCACTTTGAAAGTGCTTACAAGCTAAATATAAGATAGTGAACAAGAGGGAGCCAAACAGCATAAATTCAAAGTCAATACGAAACAATTCCCGCAAATTCAATGGTCAAATGTGGACATTTCACAGTAATGACTTCAGAGAGGAGCTTCAAGCACTGAGAACAAAGAGAGGGATGATTTTACAGGTATTTAGGTAGCACCTGAAAAGCAAGGAAACAGGCAGAAGAAAGTGGCAACGTTCCCCGGAAAAAAAAGAAAACACTGCCTAGTCAAACACTGCCTAGTCAACAGACACCCAACACAGTGAAAACCTACAGTACAGGATACCACTGGCCTTAGCTCCGGGGTAATGCTAAGCAGTTCCGATAGGATCATCCAGTGAGAAAAAGCCTGACGATCTCCCAATAACAGCAGAAGAGCAAACTAGAGAAAACAGCACATTTCTTTGTCTGACACAAACTCGCACAATTATTTTATGAAGCTTCTCCTAAATCAACTGTTTGTCTCCCCACTGAAGTGGTTCCTCCAGAAGTGGAAGTTAACAAACTGGAAAAGCTGTGAAGAGGGATCCCGCTGACGGAAGTAAACAACAAATATTCAAACTGGTTCTTAATTTTTGCTCACACGTGCTTTATTATTAATGCAGTTACTAACAATTCGAAAGAGGAATACATCCAAGCGAGTCCAGCAGTTCTGCAGTTCTTTCCTCGTTCCCGCCGCCGTAACACGGTGAAGCGCTGAGCTGCTTTTGTGCCTCACGTTCCCAGCCTGCGAGGCAAGGGCAGCACCCACCTACCTCGCGATGGCACATGAACCTTCTAGAGCATTTGAGAGCAGCAGAACAAAGATGCGGGATCAGCGCACGTTACCGCCGCCCCCGCCGCTCCCCGGGCCGGCGGGACCGCGCTGCGACCCCCGAGCCGCCCCTCTCCCGGCGCCGCCCGTGCCCTCCCGGCCGCAGGGACAGCTCGACCCCCACCGCCGCCCTCCCCCCCGCTCCCCGGGGGGCGGCCCCCGACTCACCGATCCCGGGGGCCACGTAGATAAAGTAGAGGCAGGATGAGGAGAAGGAGAAGAAGAAGATGAAGGCGAGCATGGAGCGGTTGGAGACGCGCAGCGCCTTCCGCATCAGTGGCATCCTCCCGCCGCGCCGGCCGCCGGCCGCTCCGCTCAGTGCCGGCGAGCCGCGGCAGCGCTTCCCAGAGGGAGACGGCCCGCTTCTCCCATGGATCGGGCGGCGAGAAGGCGACGAGGGGGCTCCGCTCGCCCCCTCCCTCGGCGGGAGCGGGCGAAGGCGGGCAGGCGGGCGGCGGCGCTTTGTGGCCGCTCCTTGTTCCCCTCGCGGGCGGCTGGAGCGGGGATGCCCGCGCTGAACCGCCGCCGCGGGGACGGGCCCCCCTGGCGCTTCCGCGGGGCTCGGGGGACGCTCCCGCCGCTGCTCACATGCCGGCGGGCGCCGCGGCCGCCCGCTCTCCCGCCTGCTGTCCCCTCACTGGCGGCGGCGCCGGCTGCAGCAGCGGCGGCGGTGGTGGTGGTGGTGGTGCCAGCAGCAGCATCCCCGCTGCGGGTGAGCAGAGTCACCTCCGCGCCAAGCCCAGCCCGGCCTGGCCGCTCCCTCCTGCTCCTGCTCGGCTCCCGCCGCCGCCCCGGGCGGACCCGCCCGCCGAGCCCCGCGGCCGCTGCGGCGGTTGTGGCGCGCGCCCGCGCGCGAGCCCCGGCGCGGCGGCGGCGGCGGCGGTGGCACTGCGGGACTTCGGCGGGCGCGCGCCCGCCCCGCCCCTTCGCCGCCGCACACCAATGGGAGGGCAGGGAGAAGCGAGCCCGCCGCCGCCCATTGGCTGGTGCGCGCGCGAGCGCCGGTACCGCCAGTGTGCGGGGGGCGGGGGGAGCGGGGACCGGGCGGGCGCTGCGTCCCGACCCGCGCTCCGGGGCATCCCGGCGTGCCCGCCAGTCGGGCGGGGATACCTTCCCGTGCTCACAGCCGCCACCTTTTGCGGGACACGGCGGGGCAGCACCGGCTCCCTGCCCCGCCCCGCCCCGCCCCTCCCGTGCCCGTTTTCCAGCGCTACTGCCTGTCCTTCCCCTCCCCAGCCGGCGCTTTGTGTGTACCGAGAGCGGGAACGGGCGGATCTCGTCGTGCTTCCCGCTGATTTTAGTGCAGAGCAGTTGGAAACGGGAGTCGGAGCTGGCAGCATCTCTCTTATAAGGCAGCTGGGCCTATTTAGAGAAGACTGAGAGTGGATCTCCTCAATATATGCAAATATCTCAAAGGCGGGTGCCGAGGGGACGGTGCCAGACTCTTCAGTGGTGCCCAGGGCGAGGAGCGGTGGCCATAAACTAAAATACAAGAAGGTGCACCTCAGCATGCAGAAGATCTTTACCTTCAGGGTGGCAGAGCACTGGAACAGGCTGTCCAGGGAGGTTGTAAAGTCTCCCTCTCTGGAGACATTCAAAACCCACCTGCACGTGTCCCTGCGTCACTTGCTCCAGGTGACCCTGCCTTGGTGGGGGGTTGGACTGGATAATCTCCAGAGGTCCCTTCCAAATCTAACAATTCTGTGATTCTGTGACCCAGCAGTTCTTCATGGAGCAGATCAGGAAGAGTTGCCTGAAGATTTGGCTACTCTTGTGCTTTCAGATTTACCAAATTCGAGTGTGATGAACTACACACTCCATTACCAGTTTGCTCCCGAGCCCATTGCTCAAAAAAGGTATTTTTTAAAAGCTGGCAACAAAAGCTCCACACTGACTCACTGTTCTTTCTTGCTTTGGCTGCCACAATTTGCTGGGTGATAGGGTCAAGTGAGTTATCGTTCTGTTCCTCCTCTGAATGCTGTCACAGATAGGAAGATGTGTGCCAAGGGGCTGGCAGCAGGCCAGGGCATGCCTGAGCGCACTTGAGATGGTAGCAGGATCCACTTGTGTAAGAATCCAGGTCTGTGTTGTTAGTGTGTGTGGAGTTTTGTCAGATATCGGGTAAAAAGAAAGGAGAGGTAGAATTGCCCCCTTTCCCCCAATACAATTTTATCGCAGTCTTGCACTATGTTTTTTATGCAATAGATTTAGTAATACCTTCATCTTGTTTCAGTAATCATCTTAGAATCATAGAATGTTTTGGGTTGGAAGGGACCTTAAAGATCATCTAGTTCCAATCCCTCTGTCATGAGCAGAGACACCTTCCGCTAGACTAGGTTGCTCAGAGCTCCATCCAACCTGGTCTTGAACACTGCCAGGAATTGGGTATCCACTGCTGAGAATTGGGAATCCACAACTTCTCTGGGCAACCTGTTCCTGTGTCTCACCACCCTCACATTAATTTTTTTTTTTTTCTGATCTAAACCTAGTCTCTTTCAATTTGAAGCCATTCCCCCTTGTCCTGTCACTGCATGCTCTTCATCTTGTTTCAGTAATAACAGAGACAAATTCATTTGTTCACCCAGCACAGATGATGGTCAAGTAGAGTTCATCCCTTAGGCTGAGGGAATAACCTTGTCACTTCAGACACAAGCAAACTATTTCCAAACACTCTGCAAGCTTCCATATCAGTATTTTTGTATCATAAATGTAAAAATCTCAAGTCAGCGGACATGTAAATGTCAGAGCTAGAAAAGCAAAATGATTGGTTAATCGGTGAAGTAGTGATGCAAATAAGTGATAGTAATAACACAACCAAATATTTACTTGAAAGACATTCTACTTAAACAGTAAAAATCTTGCTGGGATGTTGAACATTTCTTTGTACAGTAGAATATAGTACACACAGTGATGATCTATAACCTCATCATGGGCCTCCCTGGTTATGACTTTGATGCAGAGCATAGACATAAGGATTTCCCAGCAAGGGTTTCCATAGGAGAGGGAGAATTTCTGCTCCTTTAGCTCTGAAACAGAGATTTGTTGGTTATATTTTGATGGATAATATTGCAATAGGTACCTCTGCTAGTTTTGGCTGAGGTGGAATTAATTTTTTTCACAGTGGCTAGTATGGGGCTATGTTTTGCATTTGTGCTGAACACGTGGTTGATAATATAAAGATGTTTTTGTTATTGCTTAGCAGTGCTCACACAAAGCCAAGGCCTTTTCTGCTTTTCATACTGCCACACTGGCAAGGAAGTTTGAGGTGCATGGGCATGGGAGATTGGGATATTCCAGACCGTATGGCATCAAGCTCAGTATATAAAGTCAAGGGACAAAGAAGGAAGGGGTGGACATTGGAAGCGATGGTGTTTGTCTTCCCAAGTAACCATTACACATGATAGGGCCCTGCTCTCCTGGAGATGGCTGAATGCTTGCCTGCCCATGGGAAGCAGTGAATTAATTGCTTTTTTTTCTTTGCTTGTGCGTGTGGATTTTGCTTCCCCTATTAAACTGCCTTTGTCTCAACCCATGAGTTTTCCAGCTTTTACCCTTCTGATCCTCTCCCCGATCCCTCTGGTGGGGGAGCAAGCGAGCAGTTGCACGGGGCTCAGTGGCTGGCTGGGGTTAAACCACGACAGTATCAGACAGAGGGATAGACTGCGTGATGCATTCTGTCACAAAATTCTGAATTGCCAGTGGCGGCTACGTAACTTGATATATGTCATTTGTTTTATTGAGCAGAGTGCAAAACTAGCTGTAGAAACACAGCCTTGAACTTCTGTTTATGTGTATGATTTAAATGTGAAGCTTTTGCTAACAGTAATATAGGACATGAACTTGGGTTTATGAAGCAAAAACACACTGTATCTTTGTCTTGTCTTATCTCACATTAAAGTAAAATTTATTTTAAATGTGGTGTACTGTTATTACAACTTTATTTTTACGTATTAAAGCTATTGATTTACTCTATTAACTGTAATAACTGAGTATTAATTGATATGTGATTCTCCCCCATTCAACTTTTATTAGTGTTTTTGATAGAGTTTTAGAAGATCTGTTTTTATGCTGTAAACATGGGGAAGGACATTAGAAGATCAATACAATGACAACTTGCAGAATCTTGTCAGAGTCAAGAGTGAGGTCCATGGTACAAACAAATCTTAAGGCTGGCCCTAGCTTTTGTGTGGAGGAACATTAAGTGGTGCACTACACAGCGCTGTCTCTGCATAAGTAAAGGCAAGTGCCATGTCTTCAGCTCAACAGTATTGATTTTAGTTTCATTGCATAGACTGTTAAGTGCACTTTTGTAAGAGTTAAAGGGATTACTGTGATAAGCATGAGAAAACCTGTGGAATAATATCTTAAATACATAGATTTATGGAAGAATGTCAAATGGAGTTTTGGAAGAGAGATGTGTCATATTTAATTGAATTTTGAGCAGCAGGACACTGCAGGAGCTGCATCATGACACACACAATTGGGGTAGAGAACTACGCCCAGGTATCTGCTCTGATAAGTACTTGAAGCCTCTTCTTTAAATATTACTTTTTTCAGGAAAGAGATTACTGCACAATAAGCAGATCACTTGTTTGAATAAGAGACAATATTGGACTTTACTTATTATTGTCAGAAGAGGAAATTCCATCGGAAATACATTGCTCTGCTCTTTTTCATCCTACAATGGAATTTATATGGAAGAGTTCCTAAACAATTGTAGGTTTCTCTGAAAGATGAAAACTCCCTCCTCATTCCTGTTTTCAATCTAACCATCCAAAAGTGGATTTTCTATGGATCAGCAAACACAAAATCAAACAAGATTTCATCAGAGAACAGCTGCAAAACCATCAATGTCTCCAAAGCTACTATAATAAACACATCTGTCAGTCATTCCAAAAGGTCACATAATTCATCAAGTCTAACAAATGCTGCTGTCAGAAGTGCATGCGTGAAATTAAAGTAACCGGCTTCCCGTGTTGCATAGGCACAATTGTGCATGATGTTCTGTTAACAAAATCAGGGCACTGATCTTTTGGAGAAAAGTAACAGCACATTTTTGGATAGAGTGAGAGGCTTGATATTTTTCATCTCAGTCCCTTTTGGAATCCATTTGTAAGAGTAACACCCCAAAACATTGTGGCCTTGTAATTGTGGACGCAGGGTGCTGTGAGACAACAGGCAGGAAGGAATGCCAGATGACCCTGAGGGAAGCAAAATTATCTTAAGATATTGTTGTCAGTGAGTGTAAGACCTGAACCTGACACAAGCATCACTGAAACTTTGTCAGAAGTTCCACTATTCAA